TATTCTATATTAATAACTGTCTATCTATATAGCTATGTCGGCCACGTCATTATCTATCTATCTATCTATCTATCTATCTATCTATCTATCTATCTATCTATCTATCTATCTATCTATCTCATTCTCTCCATCTGTCTCTATCTATCTTATTCTATACTAACATCTATCTATCTATCTATCTATCTATCTATCTATCTATCTATCTATCTTATATTATCTATGTCATTCTATATTATCTATCGCATTCTCTCTGTCTGTCTATATATATCTTATTCTATACTAATATCTATCTATCTATCTATCTCGGCCACGTCATTATCTATATATCTATCTATCTACTATATTTATCTATCTCATCTTATATGATCTCTGTCATCCTATTCTATCTATCTATCTATCTATCTATTATCTATCTATCTATTCTATACTAAAAAGAATATCTATCTATCTATCTATCTATCTATCTATATATCTATCTATCTATCTATTCTATACTAACATCTATCTATCTATCTATCTATCTATCTATCTCATTCTCTCCATCTGTCTCTATCTATCTTATTCTATACTAACATCTATCTATCTATCTATCTATCTATCTATCTATCTATCTATCTATCCTAATATCTATCTATTTACATATCTGATCATGTATTATATATCTCATCGTATATCTATCTATCTATCTATCTATCTATCTATCTATCTATCTATCTATCTTTTTAATTATCTATCTATCTAAACTGTATGTATGTTCCTAGTAATGTTTGGATAGAATTATAAGAAGCAATCTATAATTTAATTTTCTTTTAATTTCTTACAATATTGTCAATTATTCTCTGCCTGTACCTTAATTATTAACGCCATCTTTTGAGTTTCAGGGAAAGATGGATTTCCTGAATTCTTCTCCATATATACTTCTGTATTCTTTCCAAACATTCTCACCAGTCCGACATTTAAATGATGTCAAACTAAACACTTACCATGACTTTTCCGAGTTAATACTGAAAAAATAAAAACAAATAAAAAATAATAAACACTTCCTTCGAAGAGACAAAATGTTGGCAGCTGGCTTCAAATACTTTAAATTTGAAAGATGCCTTTCAAAATCTAAGCAAAATTTTTAAAAAAACCAGGAAAATTTCGCCAGAAACTAAGAAAAGAGTACTCAGCTATTATGTAATAGCTGCCCCCTCCTGCATGGTAGTGAATATTTGATAATCCCCTCACTGATGGAGAAGAGACTTGTCAATAGAAATGTGGGTCTACAGTAGGATGCTGTGAATCGTATAGAGTGAATATGTGAGCAACGTCAGAATTTTAAGAAGAATGGAAACAAAAAAGGCGCTTATACTTAGAATCAGAAAGGGACAGTTGGAATTTCAAAGACATATAATGAGGAAAGACGGCTTGGGAAATTTGATACTCGCATGGTATATTGCAGGCAAGAGACTCGGACGAAGTCAGCGAATACCATTTGTAATGTGTAAATGGTTGACAGAACAAGGATTAGAAAGGATAGCAAAAAGAGAGACCGTACCAAGATCTACAAAGGACAGGGAGATGTGGAGAGCCATGATCGCACACGTCCTGAACGGCGCATCGCTGGAGAAATAGAAGCAAGCCGACAACCTTTGAAATAATGGACTTGTTTAAATGTCACTTTCTTTTCATTTTCAGTTTGTTATATTTGGAGAGTGTATCAAATTCTCTACGCGGGAATGTTTTTTATTAAACAGTATGACCATGTTGATAAAGAAAAAACGTTTATGCTCTTTGAAGTCTTTTATGACAATATCAGGTTTATTATCTTGTATAATATGATCGGTGTTTATGTTAAAGTTCCACTATCATCTTCTCAAGCTGTTGATAGTTTTTTTTTCTGTATGGGTTAGGTTATAATGTTGGCCTATCTTTCAATGAAAGTATTTTTTTTTTTAAGCATTTCACCCCAAGCAAGGCAGGAAGCCACTAGGACGCAAGGTGTTACAGAAAGTTTAGAGCAAGATCAGATAGGAGTGATAGAAGAAAGGATGAGGGTAGTGGATAGATCAAGGCAATTGACATTACACTTGAATAGCTGGAGATTATAGCTTACAGGGAAACAGGAATAGGGAAGGGATTATTGCGGTACCATATTAAATCTGTTATTATTGTTGTTGTGATAAAGCGGTGCCAATATACGAAACCTAGTATGCCTCTAATGACAACCTTTCTGATAAGGGTATACCAAGTACATGCAGCACAGGCAAATTTGCGCCATATAAAAACAGGCTTTGATAAAGCCAACATATAACGTTGCAGGTAGAACCCGGCTAGAAATAACGACAGGTCGAGTCTATCGAAAACTTTTTTTCCCGATGAAACCAAGGGTTCCAACCACAATCGAAATTATTGATATCCTCATGTGCCACATTTTTAGATTTCCACAAATTCGTTGCATTTATTATTATTATTATTATTATTATTAATAGTTTTGTAATAATAATAATAATAATACGCGCGAAATGATTACTATTATTATTATTATTCCTTCTTTCTTAGATTTCTGTTCTATACATATTTCCTTCCGGATCCCAACCAGAGACCTAAGGCTAGAAACAGCTTAACGACTTTTTCCACTGATCATTTTTCTGACACGCCCCCGCCACCAAATAAGATCACACACACTTTACATAGACAATGCTGTTCGTAATGTGTGAGTACAATTTTTTGTATTACTTTATGTTATGGCAATTTACCCACGCACGTAATGACTATCCCAGCTATAAATAGGAGCAGGTACTGCCTTTTAGAGAGGGAAGTTTCCAGCAGTCAGCTCTGACAGTCGGACCGAACATTCTTTCTGTAACACGCTCGTTTGTATATGTTTGTATTACTGTTTTCTGTTAATATATTTGTTTAACTCAATCCCTCTCTTGTGTCTTTAATTCTGGCCCTAACAACGTCACAACACTTTATATCATGGGCCTCCAGGTATCCCTTCTATGAGTCTATGGGAACATTTTCCAAGCAAAACGAGGGCTCCAACTACAACTGGAAATATTGATGTCCTCATGTGCCACATTTTTGATATTTTTATTTCTTTTATTTTGATATTTTTTTTAAGATCTTGAAGACCTTGCAGGTAGAACCCAACGAGAAATAACTTCAGGACGAGTAACCTAGTCTTTGTCTCCGATTGGGGGAGTTCCCAACTCGCCTTGGATGCATCATCCACCAAGATTTAAAAAAATAAGAAACAATCGATTAATACACGGCCACACAAAACCTCAACTACTCGCGCTCCCGAACGGAGAAGCACAGTGCATCGGATCCTGGGGGAAGAGCATCTAGTCAAGATCAAGCAATATCCATTGTGCTGAACGGGATGAATAATTTACCCATTTAATTTCACTAAAAAATATATATATATATATATATATATATATATATATATATATAATTTCAATAAAGGTGCAATTAATTTACAAATTCATGAATTATTCATACAAAAAACAAATACAAAGGTTAATGATTTAAATGGCGAGAAATCCATCGTCGCGAACAATTCAAATAATATACAAAAACCCCGAACCTGTTTATGAATGAAAAGATCCTTGTTTTTATAAATTTCTGTTGCATAAGTCCTTATTATTTTTACAAGCTTTCGTCTGTTCCTACAGACATCCTCAGGTATGGAATAGATTTTGTTCTTGTTTTTACTCTCAGTAATAAGAGGACAACGAAAATATATGTATTGTAATCCGAAAAATGCTATTAGAAATGAGTTATGGTTTTTGGAGCGTGCAGTTGCAACGCTGAGTTTGAATTTAAATTTTACAATTTACCTTTATTGAAATTAAAATAACTGATCCAAGTGCAACTTTTGGATAATAAGTGCGACATTACTGTAATTATTGAACAATATAGTTCATGCCACTTTGACAGAAAATTTACCAGTAAAAAAGAATTCACTTATCCCCATATTTGTACAAGAACGCACAATTGTAAAATAAGAACATATGCAACAGAAATTTATAAAAAAGGATATATATATATATAAAATGAACTTTTGTCTGTAGTTTTCATTTGTTTTTTTTATTTTTTATCTTTTTAACATGAATCTTTTAACATTCCTTGTGTTGGTCAAACAGTCTCTTTTAAGTTCTTATTTGAGATAAGAGCTGGATAGATCCATGTTACTCTGAATTCTATGGTCAGTTTGACAGTTTTATTGGACCTGGTGAGGGGATGTGTCTCTGTTTAGTGTTTGTGTGTGTGTGTTATTTGCTTCTTAGGGAGTGAGTGAGTATGATATGTGTAAGCGTGTGTATTGCTGTGGGTGTGTGTTATCATTTGGCTCATTAGGGAGTGAGTGAGTATGATGTGTGTATATTCGTGTGGGTGTGTGTATAAGTGTGAGGCCTCCACACCTCCCTAAGCATGTCTGTCGTGTGGGTGAGAAATGTGGGTAGGTTTGGATTTGTTGATTTATATATTGTTACTATCTATATATTGTTAAATTTATGATTTTTTTATTTTTTTATTTTCTTATTGTTCAATATATATATATATATATATATATATATATATATATATATATGTGTGTGTGTGTGTGTGTGTGTGTGTGTGTGTGTGTCAACACCTTCAGTCGATAAAGTGTAATCAGGGCAATAATAATAATAATTATTATTTTTATTTCCTTTGATTTCTGTTGTATACTCATATCCTTCCGGGTCCAAACCAGAGACCTAAGCTCAGCAATGGCTTCATGATAGGATTTTCTTTGAATATATTTGTGAAAATAATAATAATAATAATAAAAAACAACCTAAAATCACACATAATTTACAGAGATAAAACCCTTCATAAAATGTGTGTTGTATTTGTAAGTACAATCTTTTTTATTTCTTTGAGAAAGAGAGTGATAGAATGTATCAGGCGATATGGGATGACATAGATAATGTATGATAAGATAGATAGATAGATAGATAGATAGATAGATAGATAGATAGATATTAGTATATAATAAGATAGAGACGGGGAGAATTCGATAGATAAATAATATAGAATGACATAGATAATATGAAATAGATAGATAGATAGATAGATAGATAGATAGATATTAGTATAGAATAAGATAGAGACAGATAGAGAATTCGATAGATAGATAGATATATAATATAGGATGACGTAGATAATATAAGATAAGATAGATAGATAGATAGATAGATAGATAGATAGATAGGTATTAGTATAGAATGAGATAGAGATATATAGAGAGAATTCGATAGATAGATAGATAGATAGATAGATAATATAGGATGACATAGATAATATAAGATAAGATAGATAGATAGATAGATATTAGTATAGAATGAGATAGAGACAGATAGAGGGAATTCGATAGATAGATAATATAGGATGACATGGATAGATAGATAGATAGATACAGAGAGAATTCGATAGATAGATAGATAGATAATATAGAATGAGATAATATAAGATGAGATAGATAGATAGATAGATAGATAGATAGAATTAAAAAAAAACAACTAAAACCTATCTGAAGACAACACACATCGTCGTCAAGAACAGAGATAGCCCGAGGCATAAGCCAAATGTTAGAGACGGCAGACTTCATCAGCCACAGAATAGTTTAAAAACAAACAATGGAGAATTTGATACAGAAATTCGAAGATGAATTAGAAACAAAGAAGTGTCATGACGTTCTATGTAGCGTCTCATCTTTTCCACGGCAGTGAGTCCTCGACATTCACACATGAAGAGATTTGAAGCCAGGGAGATGTGATTCTATCAAAGTATTGCATGGATACCGTCAAATCCGCATAACTTGTGGGGATCTAGTTTAGAGGTGATAACAGAAATTAAGGACGGAGTTATATGCATATCACGCAGTAGATCAGGGGTCGGCAACACACGGTTCCTTGGGTCAACTAACAGTTATCCCTTCAATGAGTCTATCCGGATCATTTTCCGATCAATCCGACGGTTCCAACCACAATCGAAATTATTAAAGTCCTTACGTGCCATTTTTTTTTTTTTAGATTGACTTTTTCAAGAAATTTGTATTTATTATTTTATTTACTTTGATTTCTCGTGTATACTCATTTCTTATTAGTTCCAATGGAAAATGATCGATGCAATTTTTTCTTTTTAATATTAGTTACCCGCTGCCCCACGCAGCAAGACATGGCACAAGGCCATCCGAGCCCTTAGACTCGGGCAAAAAATCCCTATAGACCACGTAAGAACGGAGGCAATTTCCCGAGACGAGACTTTGCACTTCGGCAGAGCCTCGTCTTGGGGATACCCTCTGACGAGACTTTGTACTTCGGCAGAGCCCCGTCTTGGGGATACCCTCTGACGAGACTTTCCACTTCGGCAGAGCCTCGTCTTGGGGATACCCTCTGACGAGACTTTGCACTTCGGCAGAGCCTCGTCTTGGGGATACCCTCTGACGAGACTTTGCACTTCGGCAGAGCCTTGTCTTGGGGATACCCTCTGACGAGACTTTGCACTTCGGCAGAGCCTCGTTTTGGAGATACCCTCTGACATGTGCCAGCTTAGTATACAGCACCCAGAGTAAATTTTTCCTCTTAATGTCAATGCAACTTTTTTAACCTTACTTTTGGAACATCTATATTTTTATCATGACAAATAAAAATATTTGTATGTAGGCAAATTTATATGGCTTCCAAAACTTATAAATAAAGAAATCTACATTATTTACATTATTCGGACTATTGTCCTCATCTTTGTCGCCATATTTATCACAACGTTTCGGCCGTTGTACGCTCCGGCCTTCTTCGGGTGGTTGGAATTTCGAACTGAAACTTTTATTTCGCTTACTGAGGTAGACTATTCTAGTTCCACGTACCATGTTTGATGGATGTCATTTATCAATTATCTCCTGCTAATTTCCCTCTGAAAGTTCTTCACTGCCTTAACCGGGTATTGAACTCACACTCTTTTGGTCCTGTCACTGGATCTAACCAACGCCTTTATCCACTGTGACATGTGTCCTTGAGGACAATAGTTCTAATAATGTAAATAATGTACATAAGATTGAAACTGTTAAATGTAACCCCCTCTTCTGCTCAAACAGCCTCTTCTCTCGCTCTTCTTGACAGTGGAACTCTCTTCCTCTTAATTGCTTCTCTGATAACTATAATCCTCAAAAATTTAAATGTAATGTCAATCAACATCTTCTATTGCCTTGAACCCCCCTTATTCATTTTATCCTTTCCTTAACCCCCCTATACCCAGTTTTTCCCCCTTTTTTTCACTCTCTGTAACCCCTTGCGTACGAGTGCCACTTCCAGCATGCGTGGGGTAAATTGCTTAACAAACATACATGCAAACTAAAAATGTTTTGGATAGTGATTTTCTAAGCCCGGCTTAGATGTGGCACAAAGCCGAAAGTAAGAGGCACCCAGTGAGGATCGAACTCACTACTCAGTCGTAATTGATCTAGCAAGACAAGCTTGCTAACCAAATACACCACGTCAAGGTGCCCCCTCCCCCCAAAATGTTTTGGATATAAATTATATGCAAAGGGTTGAGAAACCGTAGAAAATAAATCGATCAATAAGTTTTACTAACTTTAATCTCCCCCTTTTCTCCCCCCCACTTAATTTGCCAGCAAATTTTACGCATTTTCTTTGTATTTCTCTTTTTCAGCCTACTTTTTTTTTCCAGCTTTAGCCTTTCTCTTTACTTCTCTCATTATAACTTTCTTCGTTCCCCCCCTCTTCTATTTTCCCCTGCTTTCTTAATCTTTCCACACACGTTTCTTTCAGCTTTAACCTCCTCTTTCCTCCTCCATCCCCCACTTTAACTACAACTTTCTGCATTTCTTCCTCTGTTATATATATATATATTTTAATTTCCGTTTTCCATTTCTCGCCTCTCCCTTCTCTCGTGCTCTTCCTCCGGTTGTTCGCTTGCTTCCCATCAAACACACTCACACCATATGTCAAAGAGTGCATGATCAGTCTACTGATTCATTCTAAATCGGGACGTCTCCCCCGTTCTTGGTCTTCCCGGCACAAAATTGTCTTGTTAACCATAACCCAAAACCTTCATCCGCATTTAGCATTTCACCGTTCGCCAAATTGTTTGCAGGTCATGTGCAGGGTGAAGGCTACGCGGTTCCCTTGCAGACAGTCCTTAGGGACATTTGCCCACACTTCGTTCTGCTATCAGTCCACTCAGTTCCCTTTTATCTATCGGAAAATAAGGGGAAAATCAGATTTGAACTGACCATGGTCATTTGAGTGCAACAAAGAAGGAAAGAATCGTTGGTTCAGATGTGGGGGGTGAACGGCATCAAGAAGCGAAAATTACATAAAGAGAAAAAAAAAATTGGTATTTTTGTACATGCTAATGTGAAAGATATCGTATAAAATATTTATATCCGGCCAAAAACAGATAAATGCTAATGGCAATAATGAGATTGACCGTTTCCACAGAGGAAACTTTCGGTGTCCGTTGACAGAACAGTTACCATTATTGTCCGTTGATATTTATAAAATATTTCCCGTAAAACAGTTTTTTTCAGGAATCTAGATTTCTCAAGTCCATTGTTATAAGACGTACGTTCTAATTCATATAGTAATGGTGATATTAAAAGTTTCCTTATAAGGAAACATTTGGCATTCATTGATCGAGCTGACGGTTGAAATTTATAAAATCTTTCTGTTAAATTTTTTTTTCAGGGAAATCGGTTTCTCGATCTCAGCAGCTGTTACCACCCTTTCTAATATAAACGGGGGTTTTCTTCTCTACCTTTTGAAAATTAAAAGGGACACAACTCTCTGACTTTCAATAGCTCATATTACAGAAATTCTGGATTCTCAATTTTCGTTACTGCATTTTTGGGGGACAATTTTTCGAATTCGAACTCGGCTCTCCGATTCCTCAATTTGAACCGCTATCCATTACTTCACCCTGACCCCTTCACTAGCCCACGCTATTTCAAAATGTCAAGATGATCTCCAGTCTTTAGTTCCACCATCTTTTCTGCTGCCGCACGTCACAGTAGTTCTAAGGAGTCTAAACACCTTCATTTGCGTCATGCACACAAGAAAAAAAGTACTACTCAGACAGCTTTTAATAAATAATCAGAACATTCTAGAAATGACTGCCGATCGGCTGCTTCCTTGAACAGTAAAAAAAATTAATCTCTTCAAGACAAATGTCTATCGTTATCTAGCGTTGAAGAGCTTAACATTACATTGTTCGGGGAAACACACACGTGGGAGTCTTTTACACACTGTAACAATGAGTGGAAATTTTTCGTGTACATGGGGGAAATGATGGTGATTCGACTCCTTGGATGTATTATGACATGCCGTAGCAGTGAAAAAAAAAGAAGATTTAAACTAGGTTTAACAAGAAACTGGAAGTCCTAATAGATACGGGATTCGAAAGATCTGATCAAAAGATGTGCATTATTTAAATAGGGTAATTGAAACTTCCGTTACTGAGAGGTCTAAAAGCTCAACGGTTTTCCCCGTTACAAGGGGTAAGCAGCTTCGAACCCTGCCGGAATTCCAATTTTATTTATTAAGACTCTCGAAGCCACAGGCCGGTGGACATTCAATTAAAAAAACAAAAACAAAAAACAGGGATGTCTAATCATATACGTGTACAATATTCGAAGTAATCTATATAATAAATGCAAATGTCAGTGTGTCAGACTTTTTCAATTAAAGGGACACAACTCTCTGAATTTCAATAGCTCATATTACAGAATTTCTGGATTCTCAATTTTCGTTACTGCGTTTGTTTTGGGCAATTTTTCATCTGAGTTTTGCGAAGAATTTTTTATACGATATCAATTATTATAACTTGGAAATAAATTTGGGAATAATCGAAATTAATTGCGAAATCAGGCGAAAGCCATGAAATAAGAATAATTTTTTTGTACGGAATGTAAGGACCTACGTACATCAAATTGTCTTTAAATTGATGGGTAGCTGAAGAATTATTCAAAGGTAAGCTTAAATATTAATGCAGCGATTAATTTTGTGTTCTTCTGTAGTTTATTGTTGCGTATCGTATACGGCAACAGTATGACTTGCAAAAAGAAATCTACGCCAATAGAGGACCAGATTGCAATCAAAAGAGCCAAGGTTGCAGTGAGAAAAAGAAAGTCCCGTGCAAATGAAAACCCAGATTAAATAGCAGCCAGGAGAGCTTCTAATGCTGAGAATATGCAAGACTTCATCAAGTTGTCTTTAAGTGGCGGCAGAAGTATTATCGTTGAAGTTTTAAAAGCTCAGATTAAATATTAATGCAATACTTAAATGCAATCATTAATTTTGAGTTCTTGTGTAGTTTATTGTTACCTATTGCATCTACTTCTCCCTATTTATTCTGATGAAGGCCCAATGAAGAAACATCCGCAGGAATTAGATTAAATGCCACCCGATAGGGCCACTTTTAAGCTGGTAGTACATAGGTTTTTTAATGTCATTTCCTTTCCTTCCAACTTTGTACACATGAATGCAATTTCCTTTTGTTTCAT